ATAAAAATAATCTTATTATATAATATAAGTTATTTATCATAAATCTAAAATATAAATTATTTGTTTAAAAATATTAACTTATATTAATTTTAAATAATATTTATATATTTAAACACAATTTATATATATAATTTATTATAAATTATAATTATATATAATAAATATTTAACCTAAATGATGCATAGAATAAAATACCAGTTATATATTTCATTTGGAAGAATGGGACTTTTCTTTTTCGGTTATGATTTAGCAATTTACCTGCACGAAGTTAAAAAAGTTTTCAAACCATTTTTATATTTCTAAACGTTTCCAATACGCACATTTACTTCGAAAGGTACTTAGGCACGGTATATCAGAAGCCTCTAGGTGCGCTTGACAAGTAATTTGTCCATTTTACCAATATCCTATCCGGAAACAAGACATGGTTACATAAAACAAAAATCCGGAAACAAGGGTTTAATTCAGAAATACTCTTAAGTACATACAAGAGAGAGGTGTTCTGAGATTTGAGTTGAAAACTAAAAGACTAATTTAGAATTCAACGTTAACGTGCATATAAGTAACACAAATAATCCTGAATACCAAGGCACAACACATCTTTCACACATTTCTCTAACCAGCCTGAACTAGTTGTTCCGTTTATTCTCACACTACACTAGTTACTGTTGTGCCCAAAGTGTGTGGGTATCCTCCAAAGTCCCACATTGAGTAGTTTGTGTTGTGCCAAAGTGTGTGGGTACCTTCCAAAGTCCCACATTGGGTAGTTTGAAGAAGGGTAGTGGTAGAGTACTACTATAAATAAAGGGTGAGGGTTTGTGTTTACTCACCACAACAACATAGGTTCCTTTGAGTGTATTGGGAACTTGGGTAGTTGTGTGCAAGTGTAAGGTTTCCAAGTTTTTCCAGAAAACTTGTGTGAGAGGTTTTGCAATTTTGTCCTTGTAAAAATTGCTAGTAAAAATTTGTTTGTGGATGTAGGCAAGAAGTGCTGAACCACGTTAATTCTTGAGTTTGTTTCTTTAATTTGTTTCTCTTGTTGTGTGTGCTTCCGCTGTTGCAGTTTTTATTTTCCCTCTGGTACCCAACAGTTACCATGGCTGCCAAAAATCAAATCTATCACATTTCATTGGCATTGCTTTTCTGCATTGGATTCTGGGCTTTTCAAGTCACATGTCGCACTCTCCAAGATGCCTCCATGTATGAGAGGCATGAGCAATGGATGACTCGCTATGGCAAAGTGTATACCGACCCTCAGGAAAGGGAAAAGCGTTTCAAGATATTTAAGGAGAATGTGAATTACATTGAAGCCTTCAACAATGCTGCCAATAAACCTTACAAGCTTGGCATTAATCAATTTGCAGACCTCACTAACGAGGAGTTCATAGCACCAAGAAATAGATTCAAGGGCCACATGTGTTCCTCAATCATAAGGACAACCACTTTTAAGTATGAAAATGTGACTGCAGTACCTTCCTCTATAGATTGGAGACAAAAAGGAGCAGTTACACCCATCAAAGACCAAGGCCAATGTGGTAAGTGCTTGATAACTCCTTTACCAGGTCAAATTATATTGAATGATTATTATCTAACTATTAATTTGCCTTGCAGGATGTTGCTGGGCATTTTCTGCTGTTGCAGCAACTGAAGGAATTCATAAGTTGAGTACTGGAAAATTGATCTCTTTGTCAGAACAAGAACTTGTTGATTGTGACACAAAGGGTGTGGACCAAGGCTGTGAAGGTGGTCTTATGGATGATGCATTCAAATTCATCATCCAAAACCATGGACTCAACACAGAAGCCAAGTACCCCTATGAGGGTGTTGATGGAAAGTGCAATGCAAATGAAGAAGGCAACCATGCTGCTACGATTACTGGGTATGAGGATGTTCCTGCCAACAATGAGAAGGCACTGCAAAAAGCTGTGGCAAATCAACCAGTTTCTGTAGCCATTGATGCCAGTGGCTCTGACTTTCAGTTTTACAAAAGTGGTATCTTCACAGGTTCATGTGGAACTGAGTTGGATCATGGTGTCACTGCTGTGGGATATGGTGTTAGCAATGATGGGACTGAGTATTGGTTGGTTAAGAACTCATGGGGAACTGAGTGGGGTGAAGAAGGCTATATTAGGATGCAAAGGGGCGTGAGTGCTGCTGAAGGACTCTGTGGCATAGCTATGGAAGCATCTTATCCTACTGCTTGATTGCCAACCTTGATACTACTGTTCCCTAAACTATGTACTACTTACACCTGGTAATTCTGCTAGCATTTATCAGCTACATTCACTGAAGTTTCTGTAGCCAGCGGTGCATATTCTCTACCTAAGCGATACGCCAATTATCAATACAACAAAAAAACTAATACTTCATTCTGACATCTATTTCTTTAATACTTCATTCTGGCTTCTATTATTTTAGTTACAAAATCAACACAAATGATCTCTGGAGCGTCCAAAATGCTCCCTAAAAAACCTGCATGATTCTCCCTTGGCTATCGTTTCACAAACACGATCATTAAAATAACATTGGTGTCGATCTTGAAAATAAAGAAAAGACAAGAAAATTTTGTAAGCAGCGGTGCAAAATTTACTCTAACTCAAACCGTTCTGGCTTTAGTACAAAGTAACTGCTAAACCGGATTCCAATCTAAAAAACTGTCCAGCAAAGTTAAGATGTTGTAGCTAAGATGTGTCATTTTTTCCACAAGTGAAGACTGTTTGTTGTCGACTTGTAGTTAATCCTAAGATCTTAAGATTTAGATGGCACATACACTACTTTTGCGGTGTGGATAGATCTGAAGTTAATGACCGAAACACCTAATGGAAAAATTAGTAATGAACTTCACACGTCTTTAATAACTCGTTTCTAATTCGGCATTAAGCAACACTCCTCTTATTAAAATCTCAGTACTACACAGCGAAATTACATACTTCCATACTCAACCATAGGAACAAAATTCAAACAAGACAACTGCTATTCTAAGCATTCCGAAAGGGTGATGGCTCACGACAAGGAGTGATTGGTTCAAGTTCTAATTGCTAGACTGACGCAACTCAGGACGGACAAAGTCTGCATCTGGTGGCACAGAAATGTCTACTGTAGGTCTCAGTTCCGCACAAACTTCAATGGCACCATGCACTGGGTCTGACAGGAAGTTGCTGATTAGGTCCTGGTTGATAGGTGCTCCGTTGTCCACAGCCACCAAGGCCTGCTGGGTTAGGATGTAATCAAATCGGGGAGCCCATTTCCTTGAACCCAACCTTGCCGTGGTGGAACAGTTATCAACCATGAAAGAAACACCACGAGCATGCATGAAAGGATTCAAAGAATCAACAGACTCAATGACACTCTCATTAATGATTTCTGAGTAAGAATGCCCTTTCTTCCTCAGGATTTCAATCTGGAAATTTTGTAATCATAAATTTCAAAAGCAAAACAAAATGTCAACTTAATGTTCTAATGCTAAACTAGAAAAGATAAACAAGAAGAAAAAAAAAACACAGATATCAGAATTCATAGGGAAAATATTCCATCCTTTGTCATTACTAGAGGACTAGCCAGTCCCAAGTCCCAAACTTAAGATAAAGCTCATCCAAAGTATGCAAGTAACGGTGTGTTTACCCTTGATTTGATTAAAGGGCATTATGATTTTAACCCACTAATGTAAGAGTGAATACACCATTGCTCACTTTGGATATATTCTTGCTCTAAAAGATCTTTTTCCCAAATTTATCAGTAAAATAAGGACTGCTTCCCACAGGGAATATACATACCAACTCCCAATAAACTAGCAAGAAAATTGCTAACAGAATAAGTAGACATACCTGGGCCATCATCAATGCCACGTAAACACCAGCAGTAAATGGATATAATGGGCCTAGATCGCCTGCTGGCCTTGTAGATCGGACACGCTCACCAACCCTCCACATCCTGGTCTGATCAATTTTACCCATGGGAAATGCAGGAAGACCCTCTTTTTCCTGGAAAAAAAAAATACAAGTTATAATTAAAAGCATGTTTCATAATGGCCAGCTCTAAATGGAAAGTGAATATGCACTTACATAAAAGCGACGCCCAGCCAAGACCACACTGCGAATCTCACTTCCAGCAGCAATATCCTCGTAGCACTCATACAAAATGTCCATGCAGGGATAATATGAAGCACTATATGCTTTCTCAAACTCCTTTTTTTCATCTTCAGATAAAGCATTGTATACAGCCAACATGCCCTATCCAGACAAAAGTAAATAAACAAATGAAGTTTACTCACATGTTCAGAGTTACTTCAGCACTAAAATATGTGCATGAGATCACAACCTTAGTCGAGATAATTTTGGATATAGTTCCTGTAATGGATTCCACTGTGTTGTTATAAGCCAAATCTTCACTCATTCCATGTTCAGTGTACCTCCTAAACAAGGATTCCACAGTACCATGAACAGCGCCAAGTAAAATGCCTGAAAATCATAAAAGCAGAAATTGGGTGATAAGACTTCAAAGACAACATCAAGGAACTTAGAGAGAGAGATATTCTTGCCTCTCTCCCCAAAGATGTCGCTCCTGTATTCCATCTCTAATGTAGTGGCAAATGTAAAAGGGGAACCAAGGGCAACAGACCATGCCAAAGCAATATCAGTAGCTCTGCCATCAATATCCTGCATGCAATCAATAGCACTCAGCCATGGGAAAATAATAATTCCTAGCAGGGACATCACAAGAAAGGAAGAGAAAAGAGAAAACATCACGTGAGGATCACCTGGTGGACTGCAAAACTTGAATTAATTCCAGCACCATTTATCTCTTTGCCTTGGACATACAGCCTCCTTACAGAAGGACCCATACCTTTCGGGCATACAGCAATTACACTGAATTCCTTGGGAAAATCAAGTCCCATTGACTGTAAATGCCCAAGAAGAAAACCATGGGACAGCCCCAATATGCTATTTGGCTTCATGTGGGAAAATATTTTTTCATAATTGTCTGCCTACATGATTAGAAAAAAGATTTGAGAAAGACATATAATGTCAGAAAACTGCAAAATCACCGCAACATTATGCAAGTTGTCCATTTTCATTGCCAAATGAGCTTAATTTGAAACATTAGGATATCATAACATCAACAACTTTAATACTTTATCAAAATTATTTATAAAAAAAGAAAAAGCACTGACTTCAATCAACTAACCTGCGCAGAATCAGAAATCAACAGCAGCACAAGATCACTGCCTGAGATAGTTTCCCATATATCACCCAGAGTTCCATTCTCCTCACTAAAACCAGCTGCACGAGCCTCATTAAAGGAACGAGAACCTTTCCTGAGCCCAACCTGCATTGCCAAAAAACCAACACGTTAAAATAATCAGAATTTTAAGAGAGACCAATCAATCAAAATCAAAATTTCTTCAAAACAAATCAACCCAGAATCACCTTAACCACAATATCAGACTTCGCTTCCGCAAGCGAGTCCCGCAAATTCTGCGCCTGAGCAGGTCCCTGATGAAGGCAATTCAAACAATTTCGTTAAACAAAAGTCATATTCAGCGCAGAAACGAGTAAAAAGTTAAATTTATTATTTTAATATATTTTTAGTACTTTAAATACAATAAATTTTAATTTTACTCTCTCAAAAAAAGAAAATGTTGAGGCTAGTCCGAACAAACCACAATTCAAAGTCTTACATGTGTCCGACAATACCTCAAACAGAATCACTCCAGCAAACCAAAAAACAATGTTGACTTTATTTCTGATAAATTTAATTTTTAAATAATTTTCAATTTAATAATAAAGTCATATGCATCTAAAATGATACTTTATTGCCACATAAAAACCATTTCCAAAATTTATAAAATTTATTCGAGTTTAGTAGTATATTATCAACCCATCAAAAATAGTATTAGTTTGATATGTCTTTTAAATCAACTTGCATGTTCGGTTACGCATTTAAAAAATCATGATTTCCCACTTTCCAAAGTAAAACTTGAGAAGCAACATCTGAGAAACAAGAAAGATCTTACTTTAAGGTGAACGGGCGTTTAAAAAAACAAACATGCTATATATTTAACACGAATTTCTAATTTGTAATATCATTTTTAGAGGTTTTTCTTAGAAAAGAAAATTTTTAGAAATTTTTTTAACTTTTTATTTAATTTAATTTTTATTTATCATAATTGTTTATCAATTAAATTTTAATATTTTAAAATAAATTAGCAATAAATAAAAATAATACTGAACTATAATATAAATTATTTATTATAAATCTAAAATATATAATTTATATGATTAAAAATATTTAATTTATACAAATTTTAAATATAATTTATATATTTAAATATAATATTTATTTATATAATTTATGATAAATTTTAATTATATATAGACTAAAATGCTAATGATAATTGTTATAGAACTCATTATTTTATCTTCTGATGTGATCAAAAGATAAGTAAATTTAACCATGAAAAAGCAAGCTAATGCCTAACTCCATGGTTACTCAATATTTTATCTTAACAGTCAACAAGCTTACCTAAGTTACATGTATTATTCATTCAATTTATAAAGTCCAAAACTATAAAAAAAAATTGAAAAATAAAAACCAAAATTCCGCCGCATTTCCGTTTGCATGAACTATCAATCTCATAAAACTATTTTTTATTTGTTTATTCACCTGCGAGCCCCATCCGATGACACCAATCTGCTTAATCCCTTTGAAAGCACCCGGCAACAGAGGGAACAAATCCCTGCCTCCTTTCACAATGTACTGCATGCAACGCGACGCAACAAAATCATCCAAATTAAACACTTCAAATTAAGTATCCTTCATAGTTAATTACTAATTTAGGCCAAAAGGAATTAATTAAGGAGCGCGGAACCTCGTCGTGTCCCGCGAGGTGAATCTTCTCCTTCTTGAAGACGGAGGTCTCGAAGTCGAGCGACGGCGGCGGCGGAGTGACGGCGGGCGCGGCCACCATGCGAGCGGCCATGGCGACGGGATTGAGGCCGAAGCGGAGCTTCTTGGAGAACGCGAGATTGCGAACGGCGATGGAGGCTCTCGCGACGGGCTTCGCGCGGAAGGTTCTGGAAGGAGCGCAGAGTGCCGAAGACGCAGCACTCGCAGACATTTTATAGCCGATAAGAAGAGTAACAGTAGCAGCGAATGGAACAAATCATTGCAGCGAAACGGTGTGTTTTATATGTGGAGATTGGCGCCAATCACTAACGTGCGCCGCGTCTGCACATCACGACACAGCACAATGGCTCTCGCGCACGCTCACTCTGTCGGTTCTTACCTGATCTGACAGATATTTTTTAATTTTTTTTATAAATAAAATTAACGAGTTAAAAATTAATTTATATTTGTCAAACATTAATTTAACCAAACAAATAGTAAATTTAGTGTTTATTTTTTTTTGTTCGTCCCTGGAGTATCTACCGCCGATAGCAGTGACTAATCTCCTTATTACGTTAGAGGCACTTCAAAGAGTGAGATAGTTGGCCCCAAAATTTAACGCGACTGCATACACGAACCTCTAACCTTGTTTAAGCGTGGATCAACCCCTATCGCTGAATCACACGCTTGGGGTTAATTTTAGTGCTTGTTTGAAATGTTGATTGAACTGATATAAATGAAAATTCTCTCGTTTTAAAATAGAAAAATGAGAGGTAATAATTTATTATTTGTGATGCTTTTTTACAACATACCACACAATCTTAATGTACTAAAACGACGGCTTTTTGACCAAAGTAGGGTTGAATGGGAAGTTATTT